TTTAGTGCACTGAAAATAATTGAAATTCAAATATTTTGTCTTTATATAATTAAAACTAAATAAATAAATAAATATTATATACATAAAAATTAAGATGTACAAATATATGATGTTTTATTTATATATATATTACTTCTTATTTTTCTTCTATATGTCCTAAAACTCTGAAACACTATTAAGTAGGTAAATTTAGTAAATTAAATATACATTTATATAATTTTTATATATATGCGTTTTTTTCATTAAACATGTTTTAGAAATCATATTTACGTTAATTATATTCATTTTGAAATTTTTGATAGTATTACAGGAAAATTATAAAACTTTTATTGAAATAAATGTAATATATTTAAAAAATGACTTAAAAGTATTATATTTGCAATCTTGTGAATATAACTTTTAAAAATCATTTTTAAAATATATTTAAAAAATAACTTTTAAAAGTTATATTCACAAGATTGCAAATATAATACTTTTAAGTCATTTTTAAAATATATTTATTTCAATAAAAGTTTTATAATTTTCCTGCAATACTATCCAAAAGTTTCAGAATTATTTTAATAAGTTTTAATTCATATTTCCGATACATTTCAGAAAGATTTCAGCCATTTCTGTAATCTTACTGTAATATTTAAAAAAGGTTTCACATGCTTTCAGTAAGCTCACAACAAGCTCTCTGTACGACTTCAAATGCAAGAATCGCGGACATTTTGCTGTTGTACAGCTGTCTCAGAGCTATTGCAGAAATATTTCGCAATGTTTATGAGATGTTTTAATATTTTTGGTGAAACATTTCTGACATATATGTGAAAGGTTTCTGTGCTGTATGGGCAGGTTTCTTTCTGCAAACAATCATAGAAATCGGTGTTAGCCACCATATCGGAATGGTCGTCCTCAAATGTTTCTCTAGGATCGATATTCATAGTCCGATTTAATATTTAAAATTATCTTAAGTATTGTCTTAAGATGTCATGAATCAATCACAGAGCCGTATTCGCATCTTAAGATATTACTTAGGGCGCGTTCGGTTACACGCTCGCAACGCTCGCGTTCTAACTTTTGGTCTGTTCTTTTCAGCTGCACTGCTGAACTGGTGCAATAAGTTGTGGCTCCTGCACATA